ATACATACATACATGCATACATATGCGCATACATATACACATACGTATACATATATATATATATATATACATACATACATACATATACACGTACATATACATGTACGCACACACATACACGTACGCACATACACATACACATACACACACACACATGCATGCATGCAGACATGTAAACATGTTTCCATCCATCCATCCATCCATCCATCCATCCATCCATCCATCCATCCATCCATCCATCCATCCATGCATGCATGCATGCATGCATGCATGCATGCATGCATGCAGAGTGTGTATTTGTAAACGGATATTATTTGTAGGTCTTATTTGTGAGTTGGTAACCGCGCTTTTGGAGGTTTCCTGATCCCGCAACTATACTTAGCGTAAGAACTGCTACGTCAGAGAGACTCTCGCTGTTTTTGAAGTAACGCGAGCTGCACCCAATACAGGCCGAGATAGGCCCTCAGCAAACCTGCGTCTACCAGCAGCGACTCTTGTAATTGACAGGGTTTTCCGGCTTTGGTCTGTAGGTTTTTCAGTTTATGTTTTGAAGCTTGGTCCGGGCCGGGTGGAGTCTAGGACTGGGGTTGATCGGGGTTCCGTGCAACTCGGCGGGCCCAAACCGCCAGCACCAACGGCAGGCACATCCAGCGGGTGCGGATGCAGAGAGGCAGAGTGCCGACGTGTCGGAGATTCTCAAGCAGAAAGGGTTTGGCGTATTATACTGTAATTTTAATAAGGAGTCCCCGAAACCCTATTCTAGTTAATTACAGTAATTTAGAACTGAAAGGATTCCTTTCTACGTAATGGAAGCCCGTCCGAAGCTCAACAGGTGGGGGGCTTAGCCTCTAGATGGGCTCATTGGGTGTGTATCAGGCTTTCGCGACTCAGAACACCCTAGAACTAAACCACCCCATCCAAAGCTCCGTTGGGTTTGGGGTCACCACAAGGCCCAAAGGAGCCTGCATATGACCCCAATGCCCCAGAACCCCCAAAGCCTGAACGCCTAGTGGTGCTTTCTTCCCTGAGCCTCAGCTTCCTGAACCACCAACATCCTGAGACTCGAACCCTAAGCCTAGCAATTTAGGGTGTAGGGCTTGGGGAGTTCTTAAGGGTTTAAAGTTTAGGGTTTCGGGGCACTTACTAAGCCCGAAACCCTTAACTGCCCCGTAACTACCCCTCATCATGAAAACAAGCCCTGAGCCCTCTTTGAAGCCCTTGAACCCCTCATCATGGAAACAAGCCCTAAACCCCAAACCCTAAACCCTAAACCCTTTGGTAGGGGACTGCAGCGGCATGCCAGCACAGCCGGGCCGAGTTGACACGGCGCAGCCTGGTCCGTCACAGGCCAAAGGAAAGGGGAGGCACGGTCGGGTCAGCTTCGTGTGTAGGGATCATGGTTTCAGGTTAGGGTTTAGGGCTTAGGTTTTAGGGTTTAGGGTTTATAGGGTTTAGGTTTCAGGCTTCATGATCTGGGCTTCGGGTTTGTGGCATATCGGGTCTAGGAGATTCAGGGTTTGGGTCTGAGGGCTTCGGGTTTCCGGTTTTCAAGGGTTTTTGGGCTTCTACGGATTGAATTCTTAGCGTCTTAGTGTTTGGGTTTGGGTCCTCTCGGTTTTGGGTTTAAGGCCTTCGGTTTTGTAATGCCACGGCGCCTCGGCTGTTGTGACGAGCTTTTTTCATCTTGAAGATCTCCTGCCTAAGCTCGCAGGAAGTTTTGTTGCGAGGCATTGCGAGGCTCAAGACGTGTTTGGAGGCCGTGACGTCAACAGTATTCTGCAGGGTTTTTTTGCTGCACTCTAAAGCTTTAGTAAACAAGTGTCATGGCCAAATCGCAGCGTGTCCGCACTGTCAGCGGCCCTAAAGCTTCGCCCACTCATGCTGCTATTGCTGCTGCCGCACTTTCCTGGTATGTCGAGTCGTGTTCATAGAAGTGAAGCACCGAAAAGCTGCAAGTATGGTCACGGTCCTGAACAGGATGCAGTATTCCGGTCTGCAAACACTAACCGTTACTTACATTACAATGGAAGCCCCGAACAACAACATGGAGCAATCCAGAAGCCTTGTATACTTGCTAATATTACTCCCACTCCATGAGGTTCTATTGCTTACGTACAACTCAAGCACAACATAGGCCAAACATCAAAAGCCCAAGCTTGTATTGTGGATGCCCTACGGTATCCCTGCTTCTGCTTGTTTTGCTCCAACCCTAAACCCTAAACCCCTAAACCCTAAACCCCTAAACCCCTAAACCCCTAAACCCCTAAACCCTAAACCCCTAAACCGTTTCAGGTCTGGCAAAGCCAACAGACCAAAGGGTCGTACAAACTGAAGCCCCTCAATGCGTCGCTCGGCCGCAGAGTACCAATCTCTACCTTGGTGTAGGGGTGGGTCGGGTGGTTTTTGGGTTTAGGGTTTAGGGTTTAGGGTGGGGTGCTTGCATAGCACAAGTCTAATCATATAGGGGCCTTCAATAATTAGCTATACAATTTTTTGGGCGGTTCCTCATTGTAATTCTAGTATAAAGGGCCCCAATGTTCAGTGTTCAAGGTTTGCACTTTCAGTTGATCTTCTAGAGGAGCTAGACGAAAGAGCTGCAATAATCTCTCGCAGTATAGCTGCTTCCATGATAGAGACGAAAGCCTACAGCAGTTTCAAGATTATAGGCATTTCGGGTGTGATGGCGCGGAGGTCTCCCTGACGAGAGTCCCAGAGCTTCTCCCTTACTTTCAGGTCCCTCCCTAATGAAAAAGGTTCTTAGATTGGAGAGAGCAAGTTTTTCGGGGGAGCTGCGCTCTCAAAAGTCTGAACCGGCATCTGAAACTGGAAGTGATGACTCTCTCGTCGTGATGCGTTTAGAACCCATCGCATACCTAGACTGTGTTTGGAGGATCCCTTGGCCCAGAGCCCTGAGTGACCCCAAGGATCCCTCAACCCTGAACCACTGAGTGTTTAGTGTGTAAATTCCGTAGGACGGAGCTATCGTGAGAATGACATTCGAGCTCCCAGAAGGTACGTCTTACAAGTCCCCGGTCCTCACCAACAAATCCCAAAACTCTACAGCACGCTTACAGAACCCTTTAACCGTAAACCTCCAAACCCTCAGCCTCAACAGAACGCTTTAACCGTAAACTTCTAATAAACCCTCAGCCTCAACAGAACCCTCTAACCGTAAACCTCTAAAGCCTCAGC